TGGCGATTCGGCTTTAAGTCGCATGCCATTTCTCGATCTAGTCAGTAGTTCTTATAGCTCCATTCCGTTTTCATGGAGTCCGCGCTCGTTGCCATCCGAGATCGGATTTGGCTGATTTTTATACTGATCCTCATCCTTCGTGTTCCACGACCATAGCTATGGAAGCTTTTGACGTCCAAAATTGGGTTCTTCTTGAGATTCTTCACATGCGATCTACAATGTCTCCTGACGACGTAGCCCAACTTTCAGTTGGAGACCCTAGTGGGGTGGATATGCTCCCAGCAGGTGATCATCCGGTGTGTGCGGGTCCTATCTTGGAGGAGCCCCATTTCTTTTACTTTTACTGGGATCTGATTACCAAGTTAGGGATTCAGTTTCCCTTCACCGAGTTCCAGATGACCGTGATTCGTAGACTTCGGATTGCACCTTCGCAACTGCATCCCAACTCCTGGGCTTTCATCTGGGGTTTCGAGCAAAAGTGTGCATACCTCTGTCTTCCTTGTACAGTTTGCATTTTTTTCTATTTCTTTGATGTATATACAGCTCAGACCGGGGCCGAGGCGAAGGAAAGGAAAGGTTGGGTTACCCTTCGAGGTGCTCCGAATCGGGGTATTTTTTTCCCTATTCCCAATCTTTCAAAGGTTTTAAGGAATCCTACTTCAGGGTAGTGGCTCGGTCTGACTGCCTCCCCTGGTTTGCCTCGTCTTGGTTAGACGGAGGGGATTTGGCAGGTCGGTTTGAGCTTTATTGGACGTAAAAATTTTATCAGCGGCGTCCTAAAGACTACGCTACTCCAGGAGTAGCTCTTTCCGATTTGGAGAGGCTGGCAGCGTCCGTCTTGATTGGTTACGCCCGCGAGTACGGCATTGTCGATTTGGGTCGGATTGTAAATAACTTTGGAGAGGATCTCCTTTGTGAACTTGGTATGTGATTCTCCTTTATGACCTATTTCCGACATATCTCATGATTTGGATTCTAATCTTAGACTTTTTTTTGCTGTTAGCATGACAAGTACTGAATATAAAAAAAATTTGCCCAAGAAGTCAGGAAGAGGGAAGGCCAAAGAAGTCTCCACTGCTGATACCGAGGTCCCGAAGAAGTGGCGGGTTGTTGCCATGCTTGGCAGAAGTTCGGCGGGCGGTGAGGTGATTATAACTGACGTTTCTTCTCCTTCCTCCTCGCCGCTTCCTCCTCCTTCCACCGCTCCTCAAGGGACCCTGATTACTCTAGAGCCTGGGGAGTTGTGGAGGGTCGGGGTTTCTGACCGGCTTAGGGCCGCCCTGAAGCCTCCTCCGGAGCTCATTGGTGGCTCGGGCTTGACTTCTACTGTGAGGGCCCTGCTAGTGCGGTTGGAGGAGGACTCATTGAAGGCCACCTCTTTACTTCAAACCTTCCAGGATCTCAATCAGAGGCTCGACTTGTCTGTGGATTCAAACTCGTCCCTCACTATTGAGGTAGGGGAGCTGAGCAAATCTAAGTCCGATCTGGAGATCAAGGTTCACGAGTTGTCCTTCGAGCTAGACAAGGCTAAGAAGGATTTGGAGTCGGCTACTGCCAAAGCGGATGGATTGAGTGCTGAGAAGGAGGTTCTCTCAAAATCTATGGCCGACAAGGATGCCCAAATTTAGAGGCTTGAAGCCGACTTTGAGGAGGCTAAAGCCGTGGTCGTAAATGCTGCCACCCAAGCCTTTGACAATGCTGTTGCACAAGCCCGGGTTCTGAACCCTAGCCTCATTACTGATGGCATGGATGTGGCATATGATGTAAAGGATGACGCTATTGTTCCTGGGACTCCGGATTCTGAATATGCTGATGAAGAGGAAATCGGAGCCGAGGTTCATGTCGCTAACACTCCTCGTGCTATGGAATGAAGGGGTCAGAATGCCGACTTTTATTTTGTACTTTTGTTATGGGGCCTTTGAGCCCCTTTTTTATTTTATCTGGACATATTTGCCGCTTTAGGTCGGCTTTACCACTTTGTGCACTGGTATTATTTTTCCGAGATCGTTGTTTTGCTAAACCTTTACTTATATGTTCGAGGTTCGCTTTCGATCTCGTATCATTCGACTTGCGATTGGCCGAGGTTTCATTTAATCGATCTAGGATTATGTTTTGTTCGTCAACAAAATTTTCATTCCTTTGTTTGATCGTGAAGCGCTTATGGCTTCAATTACTTGACTAGAAATCGATACGCATTGATAACACAATTGAGGTCACTGCTCATTTTATTTGCATTTCAAAAGAAATTTGTTTACAAGGCCGAGCTTAAGAGCTCGTTTTATTTGCTTCGAAATAAATCTACCTACTGACTGAGCTTAAGAGCTCGTCTTATTTTCGTAGAAATAAAGCTATCTATTAACCGAGCTTAAGAGCTCGTCTTCATCACGAAAGTCGGACTTGTCGCCTAACTATAGTAGACCTTTAGCTTGTCCGTGTTCCAAGTTCTCTTTACTGGCTTCTTGGAGATAGTTTCTAAGGAATAAGCTCTTTTTCCCAAATTTTCCTTGATTTTGTAGGGGCCTTCCCAGTTTGCGGCGAGCTTTCCATCTCTGGCATTCTCGTTGCCGATGTCCGCTCTCCTTAGCACCAAGTCGCCCCTTTGAAATGACTGTGGTCTGACCTTCTTATTGAATCTAGCAGTTACTAGGCGTTTCACCATCATATTCTTGTATCTGGCGTTCTCGCTGCATTCGTCCAGTAGGTCGAGTTCCACAAGAAGTGCCTCCTTGTTTTGACCTTCGGTTCCTTGTAATCTTTGTACCCTCTTCCAGGATGGTTCGCCGATCTCAACCGGAATCATGGCTTCGCACCCATATGTCAGCTTGAAGGGGGTTTCTTTTGTGGCAGATTGGGTGCTTGTCCTGTAACCTCACAAGACGAGGTGCAGTTGTTGCACCCAATTTCCTTTGGCTTCGAACATCCTTTTCTTGAGTCCGTTGATAATCACTTTGTTGGCAGACTCGGCTTATCCGTTAGTCTGAGGGTGTTCCACTGATGCAAACTGATGTGTGATATTGAAGTCGGTCATTAATTCTTGGAACTTTTTATCAGTGAACTAGGTCCCGTTATCTGTGATGATCTCGGCAGGAAGTCCAAATCGGCTAATCAGGTTTCTTTCAAAGAATCTCTGTATCCTTGCCGAGGTAATGGTGGTGAGGGGTTCAGCCTCGATCCACTTGGTGAAGTAGTCAACAGCCACTATCAACCACTTGAGTTGTCCTTCAGCCGCGGTAAAAGGTCCCAACAGGCTCATCCCCCATTTGAAGAATGGCCATGGTGTCGTGATTGTTTGCAGCTCTTCGGGGGGTGCACGAAGGATTAGCGTGTGTTTCTGACACTGTTCGCATCTTTTGACGTGCTCCTTCGCATCTGCTTCCATGGTGGGCCAGTAGTATCCTGCCCTTAGTGTCTTCTTGGCGAGAGCTTTTCCTCCCATGTGGTGTCCGTTTATGCCCTCATGGATCTCAGCCAACACATATTCGACTTCATTCTTATTTAGGCATTTCAGAATGGGTGTGTAGAAACCTTTTTTGTAGAGTTGCCCTTCTACTATGGTGAAGCAGGCTGAGTTCCTCACGAGTTTTCTGGCCTCTTGTGTTTCGTCTGGCAGGACTCCTTTTTCCAGGTAGGCCACTATTGGCCTTCTCCAATCCTCAGTCTCGGTTATCATCATGACGCAGGTTGGCTCCCAGATGCTCTGTTGTATTACAGTGCAATGGTTTCCTGAGCCTTTCGAGCTGGCGAGTTTAGATAGGATGTCGGCCCTATTATTCTCGTTCTGAGGTATGTACTGGACTACCACCTCGTCAAACTCGGCTAATAGCCGCTTAACCTGTTGGAGGTACTTCATCATGAGGGGACCCTTGGCTTGATATTTTCCCGCAACTTGTGAAGTAACCAGTTGTGAGTCACTCATGATTTTTATCCTCCTTGCTCCGTGCTCTTTTGCTTTCACGATCCCGGCAATGAACGCCTCGTATTCAGCTTGGTTGTTTGAGGTCAGAAATTCTAGGTGAAGTGAGTGTTCAACGGACTCTCCTTCAGGGCTTTCAACGATCACCCCGGCCCCGCTCCCCTTAGAGTTCGAGGATCCGTCGACATATATTGTCCAAAGATCTTCATTCTCTTCTCCCTTTTCTTTAGATGGGGTTAGCTCCAGGATGAAATCGGCCAACGCTTGCGACTTAATTGCCTGCCAAGGTTCATATGATATATCGAACTCGGAGAGCTCGACGGCCTAGTTGATCATCCTTCCTGCTAGGTCCGGCTTGTGGAGTACTTGCCTGATGGGCTGGTTTGTTCGCACTATGACTCGGTGACCCTGGAAATAAGGTCGGAGCCTCCTTGCCGTGGTAAGCAGGGCGAATGCAACCTTTTCGAGCTTCTGGTAACGAAGTTCCGGTCCTTGCAATGTCCGACCTACAAAGTAGATCAGCTGTTGTGACTTGTCGGTCTCTCGTACCAAAGCGGCACTGATGGCCTCTACCCCCACTGATAGGTACAAGATCAACGTTTCTCCAGGCTCTGGCTTTGACAGTACGGGAGGGGTGGCTAGGCAATTCTTAATATTTTCGAACGCCTTTTTGCATTCTTCCCCCCATCCGAACTCTGCCTCTTTTTTAAGGAGCTTGAAGAAAGGCAAAGCCTTCTCTGCCGATTTAGGCAAAAATCTGGTCAAGGCCGCAAGGCGACGTGTGAGCTGTTGGATTTCTTTCTTGCTTTCAGGCTGCTTCATCTCGAGGATGGCCTTGCACTTGTCGGGGTTCACTTCTATTCCTCGGTTGGTAAGCATGAAGCCCAGGAATTTTCCAGCTGGTACCCCAAAAGCGCATTTGGCCGGTTCAGCCTGATCTTGCGAGCTCTTAGGTGCTCAAAAGTCTCCCTGAGGTCGGTGATATGTGCTGATATACGCATTGACTTGAGGATCATGTCATCGATGTAGACCTCTAGGTTTCTTTCGATTTGCGCTTGAAAAATGCGGTTCATCATCCTTTGATAGGTCGCCCCTGCATTTTTGAGGCCGAAAGACATGACGTTGTAGCATAAATTTCCCTTTTCTGAGATGAAGACGGTTTTTTCGTGGTCGTCTGGGTGTAATGGGATTTGATTGTACCCAAAGTACGCGTCCATAAATGATAGTAGCTGAAATCCTGATGAATTATCAACTAACTGGTCAATGCTTAGCATTGGGTACGAGTCCTTTGGGCAGACCTTATTGAGGTCGGTGTAATCCACGCAGATCCTCCACTTTCCACTTGGCTTCTTTACCATCACCACGTTGGACAACCATGTGGTGTATTGTATCTCCTTGATGAATCCGGCTTCTAACAGCTCGTCGACGTGTTCATTTAAAGCTTGACGTCGGTCAGATCCTATCTTCCTCATATTTTGAGACACTGGCTGCGATCCGGGGTACATGGAGAGCTTGTGGAAACATAAAGTTGGGCTTATTCCTGGGATCTCCGAGGCCTTCCATGCGAATACGTCGAAGTTTTCCTTTAAGAAGGAAATCAGCTCGTTTTTGAAGTCGGCTTCCAGGCTTTTTCCCACCTTGGTGTGCCCTTTACCGTTCTCCCCAATCTTGACATCTTCCAACTCCCCCTGGGGTTCAGGACGACGTGCTTGGAGCTCCTCCCTCATGTCGAGTTCAATTACGTTTACCTCGCTTTCACATGCCTTTACCGATTGGTCCTTAGCTCCTCCACTTTTAAGCCGACGAGGAGATGATGGACTTCCTTGATGGACCCCCAGGGTCTCGTAGTAGCACTCCCTAGATTCTTTCTGATCCCCCCTTATGGTGATAACCTCGTTATTCGCCCCTGGCATCTTCAGTGCTTGATGCTTGGTGGAGATCAGCATATCCCAGTCATGGATTGTAGGCCTGCCGATGATCACATTGTAGGAAGACGAGGCGTCTACCACGACGAAACGAACCCTTCCAGCTCGGAATGAGTCCTTCGTGCCTAAAGTCAGTTTCAAATCAATGTAGCCTTTTAGAGGGGCGACGCTTCGTTGAACCCTACCAGCTCGGTGACGCATGGCTTCAAGTCCTTCTCGTCCAGGTTCATTCTCTGGAAAGCGTCCCAGAGAATTATGTCTGCCGAGCTTCCGCGATCAATGAAGATTCTCTTAACCCGGCAGTTGACTAGACTCCGGTGATTACCAACCCCTCAGTATGTCCGAGTACGACCATCGCTAATTCCTCCTAGTGAAGAACAATCTTGGGGGGGGGCAGGATTGTTGGATTTCCCTTTGAAGGTCGGCCTGTCTGTGACAGACATGACCTCCTTCAGGTACTTCTTGCATTGGCCGTGTCTCCTCCCCCGCCCAGGGCTCCGCTTATCACGTTGCACTCGAATTCGGCTTCGGGAAAAGCTTCATCCTTATCTTCGACCTCTTTTCCTTTGGCAGGGCGGTCTTGTCTTGGATCCTTCCTATCCTCTCTCTTCGGGCTTCGACTTCGGCTCCGGCTTCTTTGCCTTCGCTTATTATTCTTCTTGCCCTGGGTTCGGATGATATATTGCTTCAACTTCCCCTCTCTAACGTGTTTTTCAATTGCATCTCGGAGGTCCCAGCAGTCATCCGTGATGTGACCGTTTTGATCATGGAAGGCGCAGTATTTGTTTCTGTCCAGCCCGCTCTTGGCTTTGAGGGGTCGAGGTCTCTCGACATTGCGCACCTCGGTCTACGCCACCTCTTTCCATATCCTGGATCTGAACATGTTCAAAGGTGTATAATCGTCATATTTCCTCCTTGGAGATCGATCTTCCGACCTCCAATCGCGAGTGTCCTTCGCTTTTTTGGATCCCCTCTGGTCCCGGCCTTTGTTGTTTTTCTTTCTCGGGCTCCGGCGTGTCGGACTTCGCCCTCGAGATTCGACGTAGACTTTTTGCATGTCTTCCACGTCTATGTATTTATCCAACCTTTGTCGGAACTCTTCCAGATCTTTCACCGGGTTCTTATAGATGGACCTCGCAAGTGGAGAGTCGCCATCTAATCCCGAGATGATTAAGTGGAGGTGCACTGCTTCAGTTAAGCCCTGAACCTTGAGGGCGGCATCCTTGAACCTGTCGAGGTATTTCCTCAGCGATTCATTCTCCTTCTGCCGGATTCTTCCCAGAGCATAGGCCGGCATTGGATGCGCCTTGCTTGTCGCAAAGTTCAGTCGGAAAGTCCGGGCTAGGTCCTCAAACGAGTCGATTGAGTTCCTGGGAAGCCTGGTTATCCAGTTCAACGCCTGACCAGTCAATGTCGTCGCGAAGATTCTGGCCTCAATAGGTCCAGTGATCTCGTTGAACAACATCTCGGTCTTGAAAGCCTCTAAATGGACTTCTGGGTCCTGACTTCCGTCGTACGGAGGTATCCTGGTGCTCTTGAATCTCGGCGGTATAGCCAAGTTCATGAGCCTCTCAGTGAATGGGCTATCATTAGCCTCCTCATCATTTAGATAATTCTTGTCCTGGTTTTCGTTCGGACCTCCACCATTCTGGTTGTTGCCGAGGTTAAGGTTCTGCACGTTCTGTGCATCTCCTTCGACAATAGCCGCGTTCGGACGCTGCGGCCTACCATCGCCAGCATGACCATTCCCTCCAGGTCGGCCTTCAGCGTTTTGATGCTGGACGCCTTCGGCTTTCTGATGTTGAGATCCTTCATTCAGGAGCTGACCTGCACCTCCAGGTCGGCCCTCTGCGTTCCGATTTCTCTGCTCGGTCTCGAATGCCGCCATCCTTTGGGCATCTAATCGTTGCTGAGTTAGGAATCTGTTTTCCATCCCTTGCAACCTTTGGAGGATTGCACCTATTTCCATCGTGGTCACATTCAGCGGTGGCTCATTGTGTAGAAGTGGGCGGACTGTGACCGCTGTCGTGTTGGGCTGGGGTCTGGGAGTCGTTCCCTGAAGGCCGACCCATTCGACCTGTACGTCTACCAGCACGGGTGTTACAGTCGCCTGGAGCTGCTCCGTTGCGGACTGGTGTGGCGGTATTTAGACGTTGCTGGACGTCGAACGAGTGTTCGTCATCGTGGAATGGGAATCGAAATTTATCGTTTTCCCACATACGGCGCCAATGTTAGGTTATGGATAGACCGTATGCGCACAACAATAGACTTATAGCCAAGGGGGTGGGTGTGTGCACAGTGTGGGCAGTATTCGTAAATAGGTCGAAAGTGTGTACCTGGGGTTCTTAAGCTCTTATTTATAAGGATTACCTTCCTAGGCTTGGGCCTTTTGAGCTCCCCAGATTGCATTAGGGTTCAGCTCCCTTTCTGTTGGGATGTGATCCTTATCTTGTGCCCTTTGACTGTTTAATGTTATTGAGATATTCATGAATCTACCTCTTAGTAGATTCTTAGGTGAGTAGTTGGGATATGATATTCATATCCATAACAAACACAAAACAAGTTTATTTCTCCAAAATACTAATAATTTTCCTTCGCTAAACCAGTTAGTTACAAAAATAAAATATCAAACCAATTAATATGGCTCGATTTGACTTGATTTTGAGAGTGATATAAATATGTGTAAGAATAAAAAATCTTATACCTCATTATCTCAAACATTGAGGTATGTGCATCTAATGACTATAATTTATTAAGAATCAATAATTAGGAATAAGAAGCGTTATCCCTCACCTTAATACGGTAATGCTTAGAGGGACAATTGTAATTTTTTATTTGAAATCATATCAGGGAAGATATCTTCGATACTTCCGTAATAATGAAACGTTATTTGAAACCATATCAGGGGAAGATATCTTCGATACTTCCGTAATAATGAAACGGTACACCAATAACACTTTTAAAAGAAGCATAAGATCTTAATCCCGAACATGCCTCGCACTCAGTATTAATCTCATAATCAATTTAAAGAACTGAAACTTATAAGAATACACGAAAAAATCTACCCACCTTAAAGAAATAATTAGGACAGATCTACAATAAAAATAAAGACGCTACATTCTTTTTTAAAATGAGAAGACTTATTTTACCTATTATACCCTGGTCTTTATAATTAACGCGACCTAAGTTCACTTTTTTCTTCTTTTAGTAAAAAAGAAGGGTTTTATATTTCTTATTCAAGATGAGAATTCAATTCTCATGTTGTAGAGACAAAAAGCTTGTGAGACCCGTATGTAAGAAAAAATTATGTGTAAGACTCACGTGGATATCAAAGGGTGTGTAGGAAAATTCAAATTCTCATGTTAAAATGAGAATTATAAAACCCAAAAAAGAAATAGCTACTCTAAGTCTTTATGTCAGGCCGCTAAGTTCGCGGAATTACTTGGACCAGTGAACCCCCATGAGTTTAAATTGTCCGAACAATTCTTGAATCCAGGTTACAAACAAGGATTAAGGAGATTTTATGCCCTCTAAATCCTTCAACAACTAAACCCCCAAATGCGATTACCCTTCTATTTGCCTTTGGAAACAAGCAACCAACCAGATAGCCACCCCCCGAAACCACATCTGTAACAATGCTTTTATAATATTTGGAATAGAGGGCTCGGAACTTGACACCCAAGTAACTGATTGATAGTTATATGAGATTCAAGGTGACGATAAATATCCAAGATTTGTTGTTATGATAGAAAACGGACCGCAGCATACCTATTAAGTTTTCATTGTAACCACAATTTTATAATAATTAGAAAAATGAACGAAAAATATAAAAAAGAAGTTTGGAGGTAATATCGAAGAGAATTGAGAATTAGAAAAAATTAAGGTTGAATGGAAAAGAATTAAAAATAAGAAAATAATAGAGAGAAAGTAATTAAGTTATAACTCTCTTAATTAATTCAGTGACAAATGTGCTATCTAGTTTAAAACAACTTACACGTTGCAAAAAAGATGTGATAAACTACTCAATAACATAATTATAATAACAACTATTAGATAACTGACTACTAATAAAAAAACTTGTCGAAGATAACCTAACTGATTTGAAATGTAACAATCGTAACATAAACCAAGCTAAAGAGATTGACATCTCCAAAAGGCTTTCTGGGTTGGCTAAGATAACATAACTGATTTGAAATATAATAACCGAACATAAACCAAACTAATGAGATTGACAACTCCAAAATGCTTTCTGTGGCTAAAGCATCAAACAAGAACACAGAAAGCCGAAGGAAAAACATCAAAACAAAGACTGAACACATGTAAAGGCATTTGCAAAATGCTTCCACATGTGTAATAGTCCTTTCCACAACCTATGGCTGAAGTTTAAGTCTTAAGTCAACTACATATATAGTTAAACGGTATAACAAAAGCTAGTTTGGAAAAGTTCTATAAACAGCATTGTTTGTTACTAGTGCTCTCTAAAAGGGCAACTCATAGGCCTCAACAAAAGAACATTGAGTTGCATACTTTCGCCTCCAATTTGGGCAATTGGGGGACGGGAACAGCACCAGCAGCAGAAAGTCCACCATGACTTGAAGAAGTCTCAGATTTGTCCTCAAATTTCATAAACTGTCCCATCTGAGATGCGGCCAAGTGAGCATAGCATATTGGAGCAACTGCATAGATTGGGGATTTTACGAATGAGAACCTATATATATTATAAGTAAAATTCTGCTAAAAACGCATGTGCAAGAACTTACCAACAGAGATGGCAGTGGTACTCCTCTGATACCTGTTTTATAACACATTTTTTTTTTGGTTAAAATTTATCAAATAATTTACTTCGAAGATCTCAATGGATGAACAATCTCCTGGCACATCATTATAAAGCAATCAAATAGATAAGAATTTCCACTTACACATATGATAAAGAATGAACAAGCTCCTGTAGATCGTCAGGAGAAAAACCGATTTCATCTAACAAAACATGATAATGTGTAGGCCTGCTAGTACCCTGAGAAACAAATTCCACTATCAACCAACAAAGAAAAAAGATACACATCAACCTTTAAAAAAAAGAACAATACTCACAATCATTCCGGCATGCGCACATAAGTAGAAATCATAATTTCGAGGATGACAAACATTATTATCAATAACAGTTCCTACAAAACCAAAAAGGTTGATGAACTTTGAGAACAAAATCAAATAAAATAATAGAATCTTGTCAATCTTCTAAACAAGCCACATACCAGGAGGAACATTGTCAGGAGCTCCAGGCTGGAAGAATTTTGTATGATGATTCTTTTGAGCAACAATCACCAAAAATTTTGGATCCCACTTTTCATCAAGAAATTTACAAGCCTAAAATTTTAAAAGTCAAGATTAACACCTTAAAAACTAAAGCATTTCATATTCAATACATAGTTTAGTCAGCTTAAGAACCTCAATGATTTGATCAAGTTCAATGTTCAAAACTTGATTGAATTGGGACTCGCTAACACCATCCCTACATTCATCAGCAAAAGAAACCATGTTCACTACTAGAGAAGAGTCACAGAAAACAATCTAAAGCAATAACGCACAATAATAAACATACATGAAGAAGAAAAGGCTTCATTTTGTTGAAAATATATAAAAAATATCAAACAATCATCACATCATCTGAATAAAATTAACATGCAATTATAATATATAATTAAGAATGATCCGTTTACAAATTTCTTTTACAAATTGTTGCAAATTACACTATGTACTCCTGGAAGTACATAGTGTAACCTACTAGTGTAGGTCCGAGAGTACATAATGTAGTTTGTAAACAAAAAATTTGTAAATATAACCCTCCCCTATAAATAAATTCATTTTGTAGGTACTACAACTAAAAATGGCTAATTGCCATACTTGGGTCGGCAGTTGCAAACTTGGATAACAAGTAGAAAGAGAATTTAAGGCAGACATTTCCAAATATCAATTACAGAAAAAAAAAATAAAAAATCTCAAATATTGCTATAGCATATATTATATCAAACATTGCTATAAAAAAAAAGAAAAAAAGAAATAGAGAGAAACAGTCATTGCAGTATGTAGAAATAACTCCAGAGAGATGTAATTCTAACTTTCAAGTTATTAAAAACTTGGGGGTAAAACAATATATAAATTCCTGGCATAATATTTGAGGAAAAAACTAACCTGAATATGATTATATTATCAGGTTTTTGCTTCCCAGAACTTGAATAGAAATCAAGCATAAGTTCCCTGCAGATGATAAAAACAATGAATCAAGTCTGTCCATTACCACAAAATACATAGACCATCAACTAAAAGTACTGTACAAACCACTTGTAAAATTGCCAACAGACTGCTTAAGGTGTTGACTCTGAAATAATAGACAGCAATAAAAACTTCATGTGTTCAATAATCATGCATAACCCACGAGGGAATGATTGTGCTATAACTACAGTGCAAAAGTAAAGACTATTCCTTTCAACTTCAAGTCAACACCCCAAAGATTTAGGATATCATTGGACCGGCAATTCTTAAACCCACAATGTATCTTTGGACATCGATTTGGCTGCCAATTTACAATTTATGCTTATTTCATACCCCCGAGACCAAACTGATGTCCAAAAAAGTTAATGGTCAAATGGATGTAAATTATGGTTATTTCACACCCGAGACCAAACTGATGTGATGTGTTTGCTCTGGAAAAAAAAACAACCTTATTATTCCTTCATCCTCATTTTCAGACACTTTCTTGAACAAATTATCAATCATTTCAACCTTGGGAGACTGGGTGCGGACACATGCCCGATATTTTGATATTAGAGGCCACTGTCTAGAGCTGACCACCTGCATATTTATTAAGCATTATACATGCAGGCAAAGCACTCCGGAAAAAAAAATAGATAAACTGAAAGTAAGACAAAAAACATACGTGATTTTGAGACAAATGCTTTTCAAAAAGAAAAAACAAACACACAAAACAAGACCATTTATATTTACCGCTGCAATTGATGGAATATCAGATTGCCCTGGCGAGCCATGGGACACATCCATGCCTAGAATGATGGTGGGACGTTTGGAAACAATAGGAATGGAAGGAGAAAATTCAACGCCTAACAAAGAATTCAACCCACCAAGCTACAAGAAAATAAAACATTTCAATGGGAAGTACAGCAGGAAAAGCCTGATAACAAATTGCACAAAAGAGAATTGCAGTGTTGGATATTAAAAAGAACATTACCAGGAAACCAACCCATCAAATTATATACCTTGGCATTGATTTTCAACAAAACATTTGTCAGGTATTGATCATTGACCCTTGTAGGAGCTATGCACTGGGTAACGATTCCAAAATCAGAAAGATTCTTCTTCTTCCATGGACCTTGAGATGTCCAATTAATTTCATTAGTAAGGGCACATGACAATTGCATAGGAAACTCAGAAAAGATGGAATTATATCAAAAAACTAACCATAAAGATCAGAATTTTTCCGCTCAGGAAGCAGACAGAGAAGAAACAGAGGAGCCCCAGGAAGTTTAGACTGAATGTTCTCAAACATCTTCTCCACTCTAACCATTGGTGGGGCCCGCCTAAACTGACCATTTTCTTCAAATACATCAAAAGGATCTTCTATCGGCTGCCAAAAGCATGCAAGACATAATATGAATTTAGCAGCTCTTTATGCTTCTCAGACAATAATAGGCAGTTATGGAACTTACAATTCCTTTCATTCCTGCACATTTAATCAGATCCCTCACAAGCCCTCGCACATCACATCGTGCAGAAAAATTAGCCACAGCCCATCTTTCTATCTTAGTTGGCTGCGCTATTTTCTAGAGAAACAATTAAATCGTTAGGAAATTCAAATCAATTTTTTGCTGTGACGCACCACATCAAAATGTAGCTGAGAGTTGAATTAAGTACCTTATTATTAAAATTCCATCTCCCATTCCTTGGATTGAAATCCTCCCCATTGCCAAACTTCAACTGTAGATGGAGGTTTAATAATACCACATCACAGAACACAATATTGAAAATTAGTGAATTAGAAAGATCCCTTCACTAACAAGGGAGAACCATGTAAAAAAATATTTCTAAAACGAGAGCTATCATTTAGTTTACAGAAGGTCTTACTGACCACACAAGGGGAACCAATAAATTGCAACAGAATATTCCCTGATGGCAAACATGTAAAGCCACATATTAAAGCTACCTCTGTTAGCACAATTTTACTACTAAGGAAGAACAAAATCATTTCACCAACATGATGTTTAGCTTGTGTTGCAGTTACTTTTTCAAACCTCAATAAAAGTTAAGTAATTTTCTACCAAGCAAAATTTAGACAAAATACAACAAACACAAACAAGAACTTTTCATGATCACAATGATTAAAAATACCCACCCTTGGGGCTTGCAAAACACGACCCTCGACTTGAGCAAAGCCAGGTTTTATTGTGATTCCACATTTGTGAAGCATGGGTTCAGCACCATAATTGCTGATTTTCAGAACCTGCAACAATAAAAGTGATATACCTTAAAACAGAAGTTTGTATGAGAACCCTGATACTCAAAATTTAGCAACCAAGACTTACATCAGATAAAACCCTCATCCTCTCTTGTGGCTTCTGCCTGGACTTCTCCACTAATGAAGACCTCTGAAGGGTGGAAAGTGCTTTTGTGTATCGTTGCAACGATAGCAAAGAACAAAGCTAACCAAAACATGGAAATGGAAGAGAAATATGTAATAAGCAGTAAAGAAAAATCTGTAGCTTTGGATTTTCTGCACTAAAATAAAATAAAGCACCAAATATACCTCAACGGGTATATATGTAGGACGTTTTGGCTTCCCAACATTGATACAAGGAAGATCAGCAGAGTAGCGGAGTTCCATCTTTCGATTATTAACAAAATAATCGTAAACAGTTACTTCCTCCTCGGTAACATCATCACCATCCCTTTTCTTCAGTGTAAACCTACAATACCCATGATGTAAGAAGCAACTCTATAATTACCGATCAAAACATGCAGAAAGTTAATGAATGGCCATCCCACCAAAGGCAATGGACATAAAACGGAATAGAAAAAGTACATCTGCTCTTTGCATGGGAGTTCGCTGAGCCCAGTAATTTTGTACTCCTGATTGGATGGGCTGACTTTAATCCTCAGATTTTTTAGTGTCCTCTTGGCCTGTTCAAGAATCAAGAGAATAAATAAAGGATCAGATTGTAAGATCAATCAAAGCACGTTAAAAAAATATTCAAAGAATTCGGTTACCTTTGCCCAGTCAAGTGAAAATGGATCTCTCACATTTTGATTAGCAATTAAGAAGTCCACCACAGGCCCAGGTTGAATTATCATGGTAGTTGAGACATCTAAACAAATGTGTAGGAAAGAAGGAACTAAGACAAATTATTGAGATGAGAAGACAGAGTACAGAACGCCAGATCAAACCTATGTTAAGAGACAGGCCACTTTGTGTTGTTCTAAAACTCGAATGGAATCCTCTGCAGCCTAGAACACCACCTCCTACATCTGCAAAATTCTTTGGATCATTGTGGAAGAAAGATTGCCGCACAAGCAGGCAGCCTCTGCAACAGATAATGAACAGTTAAATTATTACAACTATAACGTAAAATGAAGACAAAAAGAAACACATTAGAATAGTATTATCATAAAATAAATTAGAGGAAGAAAAAGAAATAGCATAATTCACGCACTGCTTAGCAGCATGTTGCCTCAGTATGATGTCAAGCACTCTAATGGCTTCTTGGAAATTCTCTGATTCCTGCCCACGTAAGGCATTGGAAATGGCCTGCAATGGAATTTTCGAAGCAAAGCTAATCTCAACTTTAAATGTCTTGGCACGATAGGGCCGTCTCATCCTTTTCTTGTCACTCTCATTTGGACTTCCATGACCATCAGGGCTGCAGTTTCCATTATTTCTATAAAAGTGAAAAAAAAAAAGTTACATTGCAAAAAACAATAACATGTAACCCAATTAGGGAAATTAACAACTGCATGCGTTTCCACCTGTTAGATATGACATCCTCCAGAACAACAGTAAACTCAAGCTTGTTTCGAGCAAGAGAGCCAATAGTAAACAGAGTCTTTTCACCATCATAAGCGAAGTCCTTTCCATTCAACTCAGAACCATAAGTTTCCTGCACCCTGTCTATTACTTTCCTCCCTACACCCTTGCCTTCTACAGGGCGTCCATCTTCATAAGAAAAAGAGACCTGTTAAGTCAAAAAGTCAAGTCAGAGAAAATGATTACGAGTAAACAGAGATATAATATTAATAAAAGAAACAAAATAAAAATGAAGGACATACACTATACTGGAAGAAATGTCCATCATTGTTAGCAACGTTAACTTTGAAGTGATTAGTAAGAAGAGACAGCTTCGTTCCCTTTGTGGCCAGACCGCGCCTGGCTATTGGAACTCGGGAAACCTTTTTCTTAACTGGTTCAGGAGGGAGCTCCTGAGCTGCTGTGATTGGAACAATATCTGATGGCACAACGGGAGGTGGTGGTGGCAAAGCATCCTCATTCCCGTTTCCATTTGCACCAAACGGATCCATTATCCTACACGGATCACGGAATTATTAAGAATAATTATCATTAAATCACCAAATCCAAATAGTAAAGACACAATCAGTCATAACTATTTTAAGACAACACAATCACAAGATAATCCAAAAATCACTAGTACCCGAAGAACAAATAACCAGCTATAGACAGACAATAACAACTAAATAATAATAATAATTTAAAGAAGTGATACTTCATCCATAAACCAAGCGCATCTTAAAATCATGTTATACCAAAAATAAAAGGTAAAACATACAAGGGAATTGGAAGTAAACCATAAATACAAAAGAAGAAAACAGCTGCTGTACAAACAAAACGACAGAAAAAGCAAGGGGAACCAAATGGTGGTAAGTTGGCAAATGGGAGCTGAGTAGATAGGTTGAACTAAGCATGTGTTCGAATCTCTACTGCACCACTTTTGGAGGGATTTAAATTCTTAATCCTGAATCGGATTAGTTGCGAACAAATGAAAAGATTGGAATATTTCCAACTAAAAAAAAGCAAGGGGAAAAATAGGTAATCTAGGGTAAGAATTCATTATTTACACCAAATACAGGATTGGGCGAAGTAAAACGAGAAACTAGAAAAAGTAATTCGTACAAACAAAACCTACTCAAAAAGCACACATGCAAAACACAAATGCAGTAAATGACATAGCCAATTGCAGTAAAAGTACAGCTGTCAAAAATAAAAATAAAATATAAAACCAAAAAAGAAGGTTATCTGGAAGTAGAATCAGGGATCCTGAAGCAATATTCTAGCTTCAGAATACATATGCACAAACATATAGCTCAGTTTCAGAACCGATGCAGACCAGCATTACATCAGATAAAGATTCCGCTTACGAAAATCAAAGTACGAAAATCATTTTTAAAAAATCATCAGTACGAAATCACAGCGAGTGAAAAGTAAAAATGTAAACTCAAAACACAGCGAAATTTAGAGCAATGACGCTTCGCTTCTGACACAAAACCTAGCTTAAAGGCAACAAAACACATCGCAAGCATTTTTTACTTCAAAATAAACGGTCAAAAAAAAGGAAAGATCAAGCTCAAACGAATGACTTAGCAATACCTTTTACAGATACAGTAAACAGAAGGAGGAAAAAATTAGGGAGAAATGAGAGAGAGAATTGGAGAGGAAAGAAGAATGAAAGCGGGGAGAAAAGCAGGTTGCAAGGAGGAGAGAGAAATTAGAAGAGATTTTGTTATTTTTCTTCAGTTTCCCTATTCGACTATGCAAATCCTAACAAACTTGAGTTTGTTAGGACCGATTTTGAAAATTATCAGAAAATTAAAAAACGAAGTTTCTGGAATCTAAGGAAAACAACTATAATGAGAGTTGACTCGGGCTGAGCTACATGCACTGTAAAAAAACAACCCAAAAATACACAGAATGGAACAACATTGTTTTCAAAAACAGAAAACCCTAAAAAAAATCAAATACCGAGAAAGCGGTGAAGGAAAACTAAAAACATTCTCGGAAAATGAAGAAAAAGAAGAAGAAAACATCACATGCATCATTTGATCATCGGACAGACCAACGGAAAAAAAAAACGAAAAATCCATTTTCCGCGAAAAAAATCGAAGCGCAAAAGAAATTACTCATGAGTGTGGGTGAGTTAAGAAGAAGAAATTGTTCTTCGCTCACCAGAAAAAAGTTGCAGAAGAACTCTCAGAAACCCTATGACTCAAAACCAGAGAGAGAGAGAGAAGAAAATGGTGTGTTTGTAAGGACTGGTCACTATCTCACTCCCTCACACCTTTTAAAGCATAGAGTGACATCAATGCGCTTTTATCGAAAATTAATTAATTATTGAGTAAACGTATTATCAATATTGACCATCGGATTGGCACCTTGTGATCAACGGACGAGATTCGATTAAAGATTCGCTTCTTCTTCTTTTTATTTTTTTTGGTTACAAAGGAAGAAACGCTTTTTTCTCAAAAGAGCACCGATGAAATCGTGACGACGGTTTTGGATTCCTTTAAAAAAGGCAGAGCATGGTTTGAGTTGGTGTAGCTCCCGTGGCCCACTGTCCCTACCTTTTTTTGTAAATTCGAAAGGTCGATTCCTTCCTATGTTAATATTAAGATTTTATATTCATTTGTATTAATGGCTAAACATTTGTATTCATTTGCCTCACATAAATAATAAAAAAAAAAAATTAGAGAATCAAAAGTCAAAACTTCCCATTTTCCCATTTTCTTTGGATATTTAGAATCAAAACTTCACTTTCTCTTCTTTGTAATTATTGCACGTATCCGTCAATTTATGTCATTTAAAGTTATAATCTGAATTCTATTATAACTATGACATTTTGATTATATTAACATTAATATCATCTTTATCCTATATTAATTGAATATAAAATATTAATAATATTAATTAATAAATAAAATATTAAGAGCATGTTTGGTGAATAGATTAATGGAAATAGGATTAGATAAGGTATCATATTGGCTCTTATTCATTGTTTGTTGAAAAAAAAATTATTCTATTGGCTATTTATAAGAACTTTTTATTTCAAACATAACGCTGTGTCTTCTTAAGCTTTTTTTAAAAAAATAAAAAAATAAAGTATAAAAATATATTTTTAGAAAATAATATGAAATTATAATACAAAGGTTAATGTTATCTAATTAGTTTCTTTCAAATAACATAATCAAATTATCTTACTTATATAATGTACATCAAATGCAAGATATAATATGGTTTTATCATACCCTTGTCATTTTTTATCACTATCTTATCCGCAAAAAAATTTATTTATTGCAATTTAATTAAATAATTACGCAAATATCACAGTTTGGGAAATATTTACGCATCTATTGCACACTGGGAAGCCCCTTTTGGGCGTCACATGTGACGCTCCACTGGGGCATCTCTCATGAAGAGGAAGACGTCCAAATGGGGCGTCTCTCATAAGGTGGTGATAAGTGTCACTTGTTTTTCCAAAAAAAAAAATTGATTTAATCATAAAACTTTTAAAGACCATAATTTTTGACTCGAGTATCCAAATCAGGTAATTCTTTTTTTGATTCAACATAACTTTTCGTGATCTACGTAATGACATGTCATTTGACATATTTTATTTCTCACAAACACAATTTTAAGTTGCAAGAATGGTATTATAAGAGGGGTTAAACCCAGAAGCCTCTGAGTTCTGGATTTGTGATTTAATATAAAAAAATAAATAAAATTTTTGATTTGTGATTTAAATTTTTTTATATTAATTTTCTTTATTATAACAAAATTTTGGTTTGTGATTTAAATTCAAAATAAAAAAATTATTATTAATAAGGTAAACAAAATAAAGATTTGATTTGTAATTTAAACTAAAAAATCAATTTGAAAAATATGTAGAAATAAAGAAAATAATTAAATAAATATTCTAAATTTTTAAGGAAGAAGGATATTATTTTTAAAATTAATGATTAGTGCTATAAGCTTCTGGGTTATTATTCGTGGTCTGAAATTAATGATGGCTTATGAATATTTTTCAAAAATAAAATTACCTAAATTAGACGTGATTTTCTCTTGATTGAAACCCAATTTAGACGTGATTGATGATGTGTTAGGTTTTGACAAGTGTTGACACGTGTCACATTTTTAAACTCAAAAGCCTCTGAGTTCTGCGTTTGTGATTTAATACAAAAAATAAATCAAGATTTGATGTGTGATTTAAATTAAAAAATAATAACTTTTTAATAGTCCCATAGCCGGCTCAAAGAGTCGAAGCTCGTGGGGATACCGGAGGGAGCCAACTCGTCTCAAAGAGATAATTAGGGTTGGGTAACTCCAAAAAAAATAATAATAATAATTTTTTTTTTATTATAAAAAAATTTGGTTTGTGATTTAAATTAAAAGTAACAATTATTATTAATAAGGAAAACAAAATAAAGATTTGATTTGTGATTTAAACTCAAAAATCAATTTGAAAATTATGTATTAATAAAGAAAATAATTAAATAAATATTCTAAATATCTAAGGAAGAAGGATTACCTGATTTAAATTTAAATTATGTTGGTGAGAAATAAAATATATCAAATGAGATGTCATTGCGTAGATCTCGAAAAGTTATGTATAATCAAAAAAAGAATTACCTAATTTGGATACTCAAGTCAAAAGTTATGGCCTTTAGAAGATTTATGATTAAATTATTTATTTTATTTTTAAAAACAAGTGACACGTGTCACCACCTCTTGAGAGACGCCCCATTTGGGCGTCTTCCCCTCATGAGAGACGCCCCAGTGGGGCGTCACAGTGTGCAATAGATGCGTAAATATTTCCCAAACTGTCATATTTACGTAATTATTTAATTAAATTACAATAAATAAATTTTTTTGCCCTATCCTATCATTTCTTGTCCCCCATCAAAATTCAAATGATTGCTAAATTATAAATAAAAAATACAAATATATTTAATTAAAAACAAAATTTTACGATATTTTATTTATTTAAGTTTAAATAGAGTATGTGTATGCATTTTTTATAACCTAAGCACCATTATCGTCCACACATATAGATAGCACAGTTGCGGTGCCAGAGGAGTGGAGTTTTATCACGAGAGATTAGGGGTGTTAATGGGCCGAGCTGAGCTTTGGTCTTAAAAGGTTAAGCTTGTGAAAATGTGTCAGCCTGATCTAACCTGTTACTTGTTATGAATATAAATATCGGCTTATGGCCTGTCTTATTGACAAAAAATAAAAGCATGGTTTAACATGTTAGCCTGTTTAAAAAAAAATAAGACAACAAAAATTTATCCAAACAGAATATACAATCAACAGTACTAGTAATTCCATAAATATTCATAAATTCAATGTATATCCAAACAACATAATGTAGAATAAAATTATTCAAAAAATCTGTTTAACTAATAAATTGGATGAAATAGATTGAGGAGAGAGAGATGAGGCTATTACAAGTAATATAATAAAATAAAAATAAAAATTAATATAATAGGTCAGCCTGAGAGGCTCCAAGGCCGAGCTTTCGAATTGGAGCCTGATGCCTTTTTATTAAACGAGTTTTTATACAAGTCCAAGCTTAATTCTAATAATCAATTTCAGACATGTAAGTTCAGGCCTTCACGAGTCGAGCCAAAAATCTCTGTTAGGCCTCTGGTTTGTTTACCACCCTACGAGGGATGATTTGAATAGAAGATTGAGAAAGATAGAGGAATTTGAAAGGAAATTATTTTTATACTTTTTTATTCCTATTCGAATCGAGACCAAATCTGCATACAAGCGAATATAAATAGTGTTAACAATATTTGTAAACTAATGAAAATATAAACCACCTAAAAAAGAGTAATGAAAATATAGGGTAATAACTAACCATATTTAAAAACTAATAATAATAACATAATAAGAAAAGGGTGCACAATGCAATGCACGAGTGATGCAGATTTGCTATAGCAATAGATGTGTGAGCCTTCTGAATTGTTTGTTGTAGGCGACCTCGAGGTGCGCTTGGGAATTGGGTGGTTGCGACGGTTGAGGATTTATTCGTGTGTGCTTTTATTGATACTGTTGATTGGCGCAAAGGGTATGGGATTAATGGGGGAAAATATTGAGTTCGAGGATATCTCTCTATCACTCTTGTCAATGCGTGAGGCAAAACTGATAAATAATCCCTTTTGTCAGAGACATAAACCAAAATCATTTTTTTCCAATGGAAAGTTAATCATTCTTTGGAATAAACTTCATTTCCCCATATGTCACCATTTTCCTCTCATTTCTTTTCAAAGATATTACTAATATAGATAATCTTTCTGAGTGATAAAGGTTTTAACTGCATTATCGTTGGTTCATCAATGGCTTCGGGAGCAATTGTTTTGCTGTAATTGAAATACAATTTTAATTGGCATACACCATATGAGTTTATCTCTTGGTGACATTCTATATCCTACATGTGATATCAAATGGTGGAGGATCGTCAACATTAGAGCTTCTATATATATTGTTAATTCCTCAAACTTTCTTAATGATCATCTGAAGAATCATATAAGTATTTATTCCTTTTTTTTGTAATGGGGAGGGGCATAGCCCCAAAAAAATAGATTACAAAACAGTATTCAAAGATATTACAAAACAGACATAGCACTAATCCTATCTTCTTCCAGCATTTCTAATAAACGCTGAGGAGGAGCTTGATAAATATTAATCATATTACAAGTCCTAGGAGAGTACTTCGCTAGCCAGTGAGCGCAAGAATTACTATCTCTACAAATATGCTTGAAACGTATGGTCCAGTCTTGAGACAACCATTTTCGGATTTGTTTGACTACCCTTGAGTTCCTGGGATCTTCATGTCTGTCTCAACCATTTTCGGATTTGTTTGACTACCCTTGAGTTCCTGAGATCTTCATGTCTGTCTTGTAGTAAATTGATGGCAATAGTGGAATCACTATGTAAAAATAAAGAGACACAAAGATTTATCGTGGTTCAGCCAGAAGGCCTACGTCCACACTGATGACATTTCTCCCCTTCTCAGTAATGATTTTGAAGGGGGGTTTCCTTTTTTTTTTGGAGGTTGAAGGGGGGTTTCCTTCAATATAAATAATAAGTGATACAATAATTGGGCCAAATTATTTTGCCCACAATCAGAGAAATCACATGATTTGTTTCCCTTTTTATGGGCTATATTTGATACATGATTACAATCAATCAAATCCCTTAATTTTTCTCCTCTGATATTTCTAACACTCCCCCTCCAAGTTGAGGCAAAGATGTCAATCAAGCCCAACTTGGT